CAATTTTTCCATAAAAATGAGCAAAAATCCAAAATTTTCCAAAAAAAATCGATTTTTTTTTCCCCAATTCAATGTATTATTGTAGTTTCAATCGTTTTCAATCATTTTCAATAAACACCAGCCAAGAAATGAGCAAAAAATGATGTTTTGAGTATAAACAAAAATCGCTGATTTTTCAGGTTTCCAAAAGAACTACAGAAATCGATAAAAAAAAATCTAGACGTGGTTTCGAAGAAACTAATGATGCAAAAGCGCTTGGTTTTTGGTCCTCTAAAACAAGCAATTGGAATTTCTTATGTGCAGAAACTTGTGTTGCACGGTGATATCATTTTTTTTATCTGAATTCTAACCAACAAAACCGAAAGATGTTTGGTAATCAATGTACTGATGCGCACAAAAAATGAGCGTCGCCGAAATTCCTTTGAATATCTATGCAAAATTTCGTTATTACTTACATGATATTCTCGAATGATTTTCTCTGCGACTAACACAATGCCCACGGATGAATTAAAAAAAAAAAATGTTTTATTTCAATGACTCAGCACTCAATGCTCGTATGCTGTGCGATGTGATCAAAAGCAGAATATGGAACGTGACGAAAAGAGCGACGCTTCTGCACGTCGGCTCCAGAAAAAATTGCACACTTACAATAGTTGCAACATCAAATCAAGTGATTTGCGTCGGTTCCAATACACATGAAAATGATTTACCCGTCGGTGTAATGACTAACGTACATCATGGCGTGCTGAGAGCGTTAGTAAAACAAGCCGACACGCACACCATAGTGTGCATACAACGACACACATTTACTCAAAGTGAGATGAAAATTCGCATTCAATTCGATTGTCCAGTCAGTACCATCGGTCAATACTAATATGATGAATCAATCAATTGAATTTTTCAGCGTCTCATTTACATGTTTGGACTTTTCTTTCAATTCACTCTCTGTAAATATATACATTACCTTATGCAGCATCAAAGCCAGATTTTTTCACCTGTTTCAAAAACAATATCTGTTGATAAAAATGCCAGCGGTTTCTTGTTGTTCTTTATTAAATCATTTGATGATTCACAAAACAACTGTTCTGAATCTATTTTTCTTCTTGAATATTTGATTGTTTGGTAACAACGAATAATATTTAATCAACGAATGGTATATTTAGAATTTTCTTTAACGGAAAACAAATTACGATCTACGCGAAAACAAATATGCTCTTTTTTGAATGTAACGAAAACATTTTGACGTTATAACGAGTACGAAAAGTGATGTTGTGAAAACGATGTTACTTTTGCGATTAATTTCACTCGCATGTTGATGATGAAATTGAATCGTGTGAACAAAGTAAGGCGTTTATTCATTGCTCTTGCTGTCGAGGTACTTTTGTACGGCTCGGGTACCTTCGTTCACGGCATGTACCGCCAATTCACCTGGCAATTCCAATCGGGTGGCTGTCTGGATGTGACGGCTGGTGATCGTTACTACCGCTTTGCCAGTCAATCGGGAGCCGCCTCGGTGTTTTTGGTCGATTTTGGCCAAATCGGATGCCTGCAAATTGATTAGACGTAATAAAAATCAGTTGAACATGGATTAATTATTTTCATGCCCAGGTTCAGATTTGAACACGAAATGTACAATTCTATTTAGCAAGAACACGTTATTTACCGCAATAGCAATTCGTTGGAACACATCGATCATGAAGTCATTCATGATGGCCATACCCTTTTTGCCGATGCTGATGTCGCGATGAACACTCTTCAAGACCTTGTGAATATAGTACTTGAAGTTCGAATCGTTGATCTTGGACTTTTTCTTCGTTATGTTTTTCTTCGCCGAATGGCTGCTGGAAACAACCTTCTTCACTGGCGACTTTCCTTTCGACTTTTTCTGTGAGCGTGCCATTTTTTTCTGAAATGCGAAACAAAAATGAAACGAAAAATGTTACTTGCTACGAAAATCGAATGTTTGATATATAATTGAAAAAAAAAATGAAAATCATATTTGGACGCAGTAAATTGTTTGTCAACGCTGAAGTTTGTTACAGAATTTTTTCCCGTTATTACACATCTCAAACCACACTGTGTTGTTTCGAATCGAATCGTGTTCGCTGCATGTAGCGACAGCGATAAGTTGACAAAAAAACACACTGTTCACTGGTTCATAATGCCTAATGCTTATGGAAAACAACTAACGGTGAAATCCTTGCCAAGCCAGTTCGTGTTTACGTATGAACATTGTGCATCATGCGTCGAATGATACTATCCGATTGAGCGCGCCAAAAATGTGCGTTGCACGAAAATATCCAAACATTTAATGCGACTCTTTTTTTCTACTCGAAACACTGGATGTCATCACATTGCTTAATGGAATGTTTTCGAGAAAAATAATGAACATTCACACCGATACTTTTATTCTAAATTTTCTTCTTTTCTTGAAACACAAGTTTATGAACAAAACCTGATGAAAACTGAATTTTCCTTTGGTAAATCTCGGATTTGGTTGAGATTGTCCTGATTTTGATTTTTATGTTTCCATCTTAAACTAATCACATGAAAAAAAAAACTATTAACCACAAAAAACGGGAAAAAGTAGCAATTACCGACCGAATTTCCACGATATTTATGCAAAATTCCGTTTTGGCGCGGCAAAAAATTAAAATTTGTTTTTTTTTACTTACATGACGAACGAAAAAACCAAGCCAATCACAAATTGATTTTAGTTGCTGCGTAATTATTTGAGCGCGTTGAGCTGTGTCTTGTGCACGAGCAAATTCTTAACAAACGAATGATTTCAATGTTCACAACAGCAGCACCATGCCGGATCATGTTGAGTTCAATCGTCGCACCGCGATGTATTTCGAACACAAACACAATCAACGTTTCAACGATGCTGGTTGCGAAATTCGGAGTGTTTCGCAGCGTTGTGCAAATGTATTAGTGTCACCATTCTTGTGTATGCACTTGTTCGAAAGGCTTCATTCGCCGAATATCGAAACATTCATCTGCCGTCCGAATTTGACATTTGGCAACAACAACACTTTATTCGATATAAACTGTACTAATTGTTCCCAATACGACCGATTTAGAATTACTTGACATTTTTAAATAGAATTTTTGGATTGAATGGGCAAGCGGAATAATGAAACGTAATTTTTTTGGAAAATGGAGAGCCTCTGAAAAAAAATTTGCGGTAAAAGTGCCCCACAAAAATATTGTCTGAATTTGTTTTCATGTACCACTTTTACTGAAAAATTGTTTACGAGGCGATTCAAATTGAACCGAAAAATATTGCATGAAAGAGTGTCTCAATAAAAATGTTCAATTTGAATTGCCTCGTAAAATTTTTTTCATTTAAAGTGGTACATGAAAACAAATTCAGACAATATTTTTGTGGGGCACTTTTGCTGCAATTTTTTTTCAGGAGCTCTCCATTTTACAAAAAAAATTACGTTTCATTATTCCGCTTGCCCATTCAATTGTGCTCTGAAAAATTTTCATTTGCAAAATGCGGCCCTTGAATATCCTTTTTTTTTACATCAATGCAATTTTGCAGTTCGGTTCATTGGCATACCTCCAGAATTACTCTGTTTGGTTATGTGATTAGTACGACATGTAATTTAGAGCTTCCAATCTGTTTTTTGATCATCAAAAAGCCCAACGTTGCCCGTGTTTTTTAAATACATTCATGCTGAGAGACTTTTATTGATTTAAAATGCATTTGAATTTGTTTTATGACAATAACTCATATAGAAATTTATGAATTTGTTTATGATCATGCACTTATGTATGTATTGAAGATGCATTGGATTGGCAGTTGGATAATGTGTCGCTTAGATATTCAAAAAATAATTTTTTTTGGTACGTAACTTGGCAAAAAGTTTTTTTCTGTGAAAATATTGGGAGATACCAGTCTACAGCCCATAAAAATGATTTTTTGAGGTACCTCTCGAGCAAAAAATGATAATTTCATAACAAAATCCGTAAAAATCGTCACTTTTGTTCGACAAGTACCTCAAAAAATCACTTTTTGGAGTTTTTGTCTGAGAAGACTGCCCATATTTTCGAAGAAAAATAACTTTGCACAAAGACACCCACCCTAAAAGGTCCATACTTAAGGATTTTTTGGCCAAAAATCGATTTTCTGAGAGTTGAAATCGAACCAACCGAATATGCGGCTAGAAATATATGAAAACATCACTCGACTTGGTCATGTAGGTACTTAAAATGTTCGTGAGGGATCATACTAGATGTTCAAAGGTAGCCAAGGCAGAAATTGTTTGCTGAATGGGTCGATTTGGCCGCGAAACTGAAGCTCATGGTCGTGATTTGCACAATTTGGTCCCAGAAAATCTTACTTTTTGACACAAAAATCACACAAACCTGTAACAAAAGAAACTGGAAATCGATCCCTCGTCTAAAATTGTCTGGACATAGACACATTTTCGTACGTATGTTGGCTATAATTTGGCTTTTATAATTTTTAATTGAAAAAAATGGCCAAATTTGAGGTGATTTTCGAATATTTGTTGCTCTATCCATGTCCAGAGGCACATTTTGAGTTGTGATATGGCGTTATATCGATAGCTAGGAACAAACTGAGTCGGATAGAGATATTTTCAGATTGATTTATAGTGGACTGGATCACCATAAATGGGCAAATATACAGAAAAATGACAAATTTCGGCGATTTTTGGCAAATTGGCACTATTTTTTTTGAATATCCTGGAATAAATCGCTGTGAATCGATCCTATTCAACGTAGTTTGTTACGAGCTGCCGAATTACGGCAAAAAA